CTTCGATTCTTGCCTCCTACACGCCTCGGGCTCCCCCTTTAGGGTCGGCGGCGCCGGCCGCAAGGCCTTTACAATCAAAAAATGAGCGCAGGGTTTGGTCCCGCCTCGAGTCTTTTTTATTGTGCTTAACGAGACACTTAGAATGAATGTGTTTTGCGAACGCTCGCCTGGGAAACATCCCGCGACACGTCGGAACCAGGGGTCTCCCCCCCCCAGACATTCGGCGCGCCCTGAAAAACCGGAGGGGGGCTTTCCTTCTCTCCAGACCCCCCCCCGCAACCCCCCCTACCCCCCCCCCAAGGGGGGGGGGTTGAACTCCCCCCCCCGATTCCAGAGTGGGGGATTGGACCCTCCCTCCCTACTCGCCGCTGGCAGGGAACGCCTACGACGACGACGACGACGCTGGCGACGGCGACGACGTCAGTGGCGGCGGCTGCAGCGGCGCACCCTCTGCCAGCGCGGGCGTCGGCGCCAGGGCCAGGGCCAGTGTCCGGCGCTGGCGAGTGGGGGCAGGGATCGACCTTCCCCCCTACTCGCCGCTGGCAAACTGTCCTCCTCCTCCTCCTCCTCCTCATCCTCCCACTCGTCTTCGTGGTCGTCGTCGTCATCGTCATCATCGTCATCATCGTCATCATCATCATCATCATCATCATCATCATCATCATCGTCATCGTCCTCATCGTCCTCATCGTCATCGTTCTCGTCATCGTCATCGTCATCATCGTCATCAACATCATCGTCGTCCTCCTCGTCCTCGTCTTCGTCGTCGTCGTCATCGTCATCATCGTCATCATCGTCATCATCATCATCATCATTCTCATCTCTCATCACACCACAATCACCATCATCATCACCATCATCGTCACAATCATCATCATAATCATCGTCACCATCATTGACATCCTCATCGTAACCATCATCACCATCACCATCACCATCACCAGCAGCATCATCATCAGCATCGACATCAACATCCTCATCATCAACAACATCATCAGCCTCGTCATCAACAACATCATCAGCATCATAATCATCAACAGTCCATCACCATGTTCATCTTCACCGTTCTCACCATAGTCGTCATTGTCATCATCGTCGTCACCGTCACCATCATCGCCATGACCATCACCATCACCGTCGCCATCACCACCATCAGCATAATCGTCGTACATAGTCGTCATCATAGGCATCGTCAACATACTGATCATCTCCCTCATCCTCATCCACATCGTCGTCGTCACCGTCATCATTATCGTCATCATCATGGTCGTCGTCATCGTCGTCGTCATCATAATTATCATCCTTATTCTCGTCTTCATCATCGCCATCCTCATGGTAACCATCATCACCATCATCACCACCATCATAATCATCATCACCATCATCGTCATATTCGTCGTCATCATCATCATCATCTTCATCATCATCATTTCACCACGATCATCATGATCATCATCATCGTAAGCATCACCATCAACATCCTCATCACCAACAACATCATCAGCTTCGTCATCATGATCATCAACAGCCCACCTCATCGTTCTCATCGTTCTCATCGCTCTCATTGTCATCGTCGTCGTCACGGTCATCATCATCCTCACCATCGCCATCACCATGACCATCACCGTCATCATCATCATCATCGTCATCGTCATCATCGTCATCGGAATTGTTATCATAAGCAGAATCATCATCACCGTCACCATCACCGTCACCGTCATCATCATCTGCATCTTCGTCGCCATCAGCACCATCACAATCATCATCAGGAACACCACCATTACGTTTACCATCACCATCACCACTATCATCAATGTCGTCATCATCCAGATCGTCACCATCACCACCATGATCATCATCAGCAGCAACATCATCATCGTCGTCATCATCAGCATCATCAACATCATCATCGTCATCATTATCATCACCATCGTCACCTCCTCAGTATCATCGTCATCGTCATCGTTCTCGTCATCATCATGTTCGTATTCGTCATCATCGTCAACATGATCATCCTCTCCTCCAGCCTCGCCATTATCATCGTCATCGCCATCGCCATCGTCATCATCATCATCATCATCATCATCATCATCATCGTCATCATCATCAACATCATCATAGTCATGATCATCATCAGCAGCACAAGCACCATCATCATCATTAACAACACCATCACCAGCAGTATCGTCATCGTTGGCTTCAATGTCATCATTATCACCATTAGCATCACCATAACATCATCTTTCTTTACTTACAGCATCATCATCGTCGTCGTTATCATCATCATTGTCGTCAGCATCACCATCCACACTCTCATCATCATCATCATCATCATCATCATCATCATCATCATCATCATCATCATCATCATCATCATCATCATCATCATCATCATCGACATCATCATCACCATCACCATCACCATCATCATCATCATCATCATCATCATCATCATCATCATCATCATCGTCGCTCTCAACATCTTCACCATAGCCCCAATGTGTATCATAATCATCGTCAGCATCACAATCTCCACCGTCATCGTCATCGCCATCATCGTCGTCATCACACTCATCATCACCACCATCCTCATCCTCGTCATCGCAATCGTCACTAATTATACGTAACATCATGATCAACATCACCGTAATTATCTCCGTGACCTTGCTGGTCATCAGCATCAATATCAACATCAACATCATCCTCACCACCATCATCATGAACGTCATCGTTATCACAATCATTATCGTCATCCTCCGCCTCCGCATCCTCGTAACCCTCGTCGTCCTCGTTCGTTATCACCATCATCACCATCATCCGTGCCATCATCATCATCATCATCATCATCATCATCATCATCATCATCATCATCATCATCATCATCATCATCATCACCGTTCGCATTCTGATCAGCATCAGGTTATCATCATCAGCAAAGTCATCATCATCATCCTCATCCTCATCATTATCATCGTCTTGATCATCGTCGTCATCGTCGTCCATCGTCGTCGTCCCTGTCATTCGTCGTCGTCGTCCATCGTCGTCGTAGTCGTCACTACAATTCGTCGCCAACGTCGTTATCGTCGTCGACCACGTCGTCGTCGTCGTCGTCGTCAGCATCATCGTCGTCGTCGGCGGCGGCGTCGTCGTAGTCGTCATTTGTCGTTGTCGTCGTCGCCGGCGTCGTCGTCGATTGTCATCGTCGTCGTCGTCGCCACCAGCGCCGGCGCCTGCGCTGTCGCCACTAGGGGAGGGGGAGTTTGAACCCCATCCCTGGAGGAAGGGGGGTGGGTTCGGACCCCCTCCGTCCTTGCAATTCGGGAAGAATGGGGGACCCCCCGTTTCGAACCCCCCATCCTCTCCCACGCGTCCACATAATGCGCCCTTTCGAAGCTCACGGGCTTCCAGAACGCGGCAGCCAGTCAGACCATGGACGCTGCCCCTTCAACGGCATCCCTTTCCCTCTGCGACCCCGGGCCCCCCGAACACTTCCAGGAGGAGGGGAAGAAGAAGGGTGCAAGGGAAAGAGGAGTTCGGGCAGCCGAAGGGTAGGGGCGGAACGAGCGAAGAGGAAGGGGGGAAGGGAAAGAGCGGGAATGAGCGAACTCTAAGACTCTAAAACGCTGGGTTGGCCATGCGCGAAACCGGAAAGGGCGCGACTTCCAGTCAGCCAGGAAAAAAGGCGGCCACAGACGACGACAACGACGGCGACGACGAACGAACGACGATGGCGAGGACAGCGACGACAGACGAACGAGCATAACAACGCGAAAGGCGGCGACGACGATGACGACGGCAGCGACAACCGCACGATCACGGACGCAAGCGGGCCCTTGGGCGCCCAACCCATCCGCGATATTCAGGTGCCCTTGCCATTGCCGTTGTCCTTGCATTTGAGGTGGCAAGAAGCTGGATACCACGGGTCGGCACCAGCGGCCCGTGGATCAGGGACCACACCCGCTCGGCGGAGGCAGTTTGCAGCCTCTTCGAGCTCGCGGCGCGCACGCCACGCCGTAGAAGCTCGGCATGATTGTGTCTGTCCTTGGCCTTGGCCTTGCCCCTCGCTGGCTCCGCGGCAAAAGTCCTTGCACTTCTGCGTGTCCAGGCCCTGGTCCGTGCTGGCAACGGGACTGTGGAGGAAGGCGCGCTGATCAGCAGCAGCAGCAGGGAACCCTCGGCAGCACCACGATCTTCATGAGGATCAGCGGACCAGGACAGTCGCCGAGGTCAGCGGGAGGAGCAGCGGCACCTTTACACTGGCAGGGATGAGCGAAGCGGGGTGCGGAAGGGATAGCAGTGATGAAGGGTCTGCCAGGCGCCTCTCGAGAGGCTTCGATGGGGCGAACAGCGCAGGGGAGGCGTGTTTCACGTGCTGGCTGCTGGTCGTCGCCCAGCAGCTGGGCGATTGGAGCCCAAGGATGAAGGATGCATACAAAGGTCGCTCGGAAGACGTCGGACCTCGGACACCGTGCCTGCAGATGTCGCCGGCGGGGGCGTCGCAGGTTGGCGCCGTAGCAGGAGGCGCCGTACCGTAGCACGATGCAGAGGCCGCTCGGAAGCAGTAGGCAGAGACATTAAGTAGGAAGGCGATTGAGTAGATTAGGGGTCGGCCTGCCACCCAAAGAGGAGGGCAGAAGGAGGCCACTTCGAGCGCTGAATCAGGAAGGCGCCCAAAGCCAAGCGGGTTCTGGGATCTGGAAATCCGAGTGCAACTGCCTACCATGCTCTCCGACTGGGCTGTCGCGAACCTGCTGCAGCCCTCGAGCTCATAGCTGGCGCCGATTGGCCGACCGACTGCGCAGCCGATGGCGGCAGCTGTGCCCATGTAACTGGCGCTCGAGACGACAGGGTTGGGCGGCCAAGGCCCCAAAACACCCGAGCCGAGGGGATGATGAGGAGGAGAAGGAGGAGGAGGAGGAGGAGGAGGAGGACGACGACGTCGACGACGACGACGACGAAGACGACAACGAGGTCCGATGGCGCGTGCGGGCGCTGGCGTCCTCTAAACGGCGCTTATCGGAGCTGTCGATGACGTAGATCAGCGCATCCGACGACTCAAAGTAATTGCTCCTCTGCGCGCCCAAGGGGTGAGGGGGCAACCACGGGGGGGACTGGGTCAGAGGGGAGACCGTTGAGCTGGAACCGGCGATGCATTTCCGATACATCGGCAAACCGCGCGTTCCTGGACGGCCCAGGCCGTCGGACCCCTCTCGGCGACGAATGCGCGACGGGGGGTCGGTGCATCCCTCCCCTGATTGGCGGCGCGCGCAAGAGGGTAAGGGGATGGAGGGGGGAAAGCTTCTTAGAAGGAGGCTGCTTCTGCGGAGGCGCCGGCACTACATCCATAGACGAGGCCCGCGCCTTCAGAGAAGCAGGGGAGCTTCTAAGAAGCCTTCGCCCTCCTCCTGCCCCCCATCTGCGCGTGGCTACCCTGAGCCCATCCCCACCCCCCGGCGTTGCCACTGAAGGGAGAGGGTGGGGAAACGAAGCATGGCACACACAGAAAGACTCGGAGGTCCGCGCGGATTCCTCGACTCCGCGCCGGTCCCCCCTGGCGGCGCCTCCGGGCGCCGCCCCTGGCGCGCCCGCTCCGCGCGCCAGGGAGGGGGGCCCAGCGCCGATCCGAGAAATCCGCGCGGACCTGCGAGTCTTTCTGTTTGTGCCATGCTTCGTTTCTAGAGGAAAAAGAACTATGCACATGCACCGATTCTGGCCAGGCCCATCCTGAGCCCAGGATCGGTGCATACGCCCTCCTACCTTGGCCAGGAAGGCATATGCACCGATCCTGGGTCAAAAATGGGCCTTGCCAGGATCGGTGCATGTGCATAGTTCCCTTCGCCCGAAGGGGAGCACGGGCGAGAATGACGGCACTGTTGCAGGGAGCGGCGGGGAAGCCCGGCCTGGCGGTGCGTCCCCACCGGGGGGCACGGGCACCCCTCACCGCACCGACCTCGCAGACGTGCCGCCGCGGATTTCTGCGTGGATTTCTGCCAATGCAAAGCCCCGAAACGGCGAGCGAACAAGAAAGTGAATTTCGCGTGGATTTTTTGTAGCCTTCATTCCTGACCTAAAAAATCTGCACGAAATTTACTTTGAAATCTGAAGCGAAATTCTCCGGGACAATCAGGGCCCATCCCTATGTTTTCCGAACGAAATCCGCTCTACGATGTTGGCGCCATGACACCTACGCACCACCACGACTGGCCAAGGCCATCGCCGCGAGGCACAGAGCGGAGTGTTGCTGCATGGACAGAGGCATGCGTCCGGGAAAGCCCTTCCCCTTGTCGTCAGAAAATGCACTGACTGGCCGTGGCCTCCCAGGAACAAGAAGGTCGCGGCCGTAGGGCCGCGCGCCGTGCCGGCACTGAGTGGAGTGTCCTCAGGTCCCGTCGAGCTCTCTGGATCGGGTGCTGCAGACACTCCTCGAAGGGCCCGGATCCCAAATCTCTGGGTGCCTTGGGCGCTTCCGGGCGCTTCTGGAGAGACCCAATCGGCGTGTGTGAGAGGCCCTTCGACGCGAGGCCAGCCCAATCCAAACTGAAGTACGCCAGCCTCGTTTGATCGTCGTCGTCGTCGTCGTCGTCGTCGTCGTCGTCGTCAGGGAGATCGAGCAAACAAGGGGGATCGAACAATGTCCCAATCACATCGAAGGGAAACCATTTCCCTTTGTCCCTTACCAGCTGGGGGGGGTCTCGGCGGGTTCCAGAGGGGTGGTCGCGGGATGGTCCAGGGGGGGGGGTCCTGGGGTGTTGCGTCTCTTCAAAACGAAGACCCAACACCACAAGATGGTTGGAACAAAAACAGCTCAAACAGCCGTTCCCGCTCAAGATGGCTCAGGGTCTCCAAGACGGCCCAGTTGGCCAAAGATGGCCTCCAAGACGTTCCAAAGACGCCTCCAAGAAGGCCAAGATGGGCCCAAGAGAGCCCACTATGCCACCAAGACGACTCAAGATGATTCCAAGACGGCCATAGATGCCGTCCAAACGGCCCGTGAGGCCCCCAGGACGCTCTGGGGGGGGCTCCAAGAGAACCTCCAGGAGATCAACGTTACCGATTGGCCTTCTGTTTTTCAGAATCAAACGAGCACGCAACGCCAAACAACACAAAGCAATGCCAAACAATGCTAAGCACCGCTAAGAAATGCAACCCAATACCAGGAAACGCACATCAACGCCAAGCAATGCCAAGCAACGCTTAACAACGCCGAGGACTGGCTAGACATGCGTAATAATGCCAAGCAGAGCCGCGCAACAGTGCCAACAATGCAGAGCAATGTCAAACAATGTCAAGCAATGCCAAACAGCGCCAAGCAACGCCAAGCAATGCCAAGCAACGCTTAACAATGCCAAGAACGCCAAGCAGTGCCAAACAACAGAGTGAAGCAACGCCAAGCAATGCCAAGCAACGCAAAACAATGCCGAGCACCGCAAAGCAATGCAAAGCAATGCCAGAAAACGCACATCAACGCTAAGCAACGCCAGACAATGTCAAACAACGCCGAGGAATGACAAGACATGCACTGCAATGCCAAGCAACGCCAAGCAACGCCAAGCAACAGTGCCGAACAACGCCACGCAACGCCAAGCAACGCCAAGCAACGTCAAGCAACGCCAAGCAACGCCAAGCAACACCAAACGATGACAAACATTGCAAATCAAGGCCAAATACTTATCTTCGTTGCCTTACTTTGTGTTGCTCAGAAGTGCGTTGAATATATTTGGAAGAACGAAGACTCCTAATTGGGATCACGCTGGGTTCATAAGTTCGGCCCCCTGCTGGCCACACTGAGCCCGTCCGAGGACTTTCATGTATGTTTGGATGAGGTCACACCTCTGGTGACGACATCGGAGGTATTAATTTGGGTATTGCAAGACATCCGCGCTTACGTCATACGTGGACAACGTGTCAACGTCTCGTCTGGCGACAAGATAGAAGAGCACCTGGGATCCCACGTCCTCATAATATCGAAGACGCCTACGGCGAATCACCGCCGCCCTCTGCCTTTTTGGAAGCGCCTATGTGGCCGAACACTGAGGCCAGACCTGCCAAGCTATCGTACCATGTGTTCCCCGAATCGGTTTGGAAAGCCTTCGGGGAACACGTGGGCATCTTGAAGGTCACCTTGGCCGTCTGGAGGCCATTTTGACCCTTTCGGGCCTTCTAGGAGGACGTCTTGGAGGGCTCTTGGGCCGTCTTGGAGGCCATCTTGATGGAGACCTCTTGGGCCGTCGTGGGTGCCTTTTGGGGCCGTGTCTTGGGCCGCTTGGGCGATCTTTGGCGGCACTTGGGCCGTCTCGGGCCGTCGGAAGGCAATACAACAAATGCCACAATCCTTCAAACACTCATAGGAAATCAATGATTTTGGCATTTTCGGGCCTTCCTGGAGGCCCTCTGGTCCGTCTGACGCCGTCGGAAGCCGTTTGGGAGGCCTCTATGGGCCGACTTGGGGCCCTCTTGGAATGCTCCAAGGCCGTCTTGGAGGCCCATCTTGGGCGTCTTAAAGGCCTCCTGTGCCGTCTTGGGGGCCTCTTGGGGCCGTCTTGGGGCCCTCTTGGGCCGTTCTGGGGCCATCTTGGAGGCCTCTCGGGCGATCTTTCGGCGATCTTCGGGGGCTCTTGGGCCGTCTCGGGCCGTCGGAAGGCCGAAAAGAAGCAAAAGTCCAAATCCGTCAAAAACATAAGTAAAATCAATGTGTTGGGCCTCTTCTGGCCTTCCTGGAGGCCCTCCGGCTTGGGCCAGCTTCAAGCCAACTTCGGCCATCTTCGTGGGTTCCTGGCACGTCTGACGCGGTCGGGAGCCGTCTTGGGGGCCTTTCTGAGCCGACTTGGGGCCCTCTTGGGGCGCTTCGGGGCCGTCTTGGAGGCCATCTTGGGCGTCTTGGAGGCCATCTTGGGCGTGTTGGAGGCCTCTTGGGTCGTCTTGGGGCCCTCTTGGGGCCGTCTTGGAGGCCACTTGGGCCGTCATGGGGCCCTTTTGGGGGCCTCTTGGGCGATCTTGGGGGCCTCTTGGGCCGTCTTGGGCCGCCGGAAAAGGGAAAAGGCGCAAATGCCAAAATCCTTCAAAAACCGAAGGACAATCAATGATTTGGGCCCTTTCGGGCCTTCCTGGAGGACATCTTGGAGGGCCCTTGGGCAGTCTTGGAGGCCTCTTGCGGGCCTGTTGGGCCGTCGTAGACCATCTTGAGGCCATCTTGGGCCGTCTTGGAGGCATCTTTGGGCCATCTTAGCCGTCTTGGAGGCCATCTTGGGTCGTTTTGGAGTAGAAGAACACCTGGGATCCCACGTCCTCATCATATCGAACGGTGTTCGGCCATTCCGCCACTGTGCCTGGGTTGTGGGCCACAGGCCTCTAGGATGTTCGTTGGGATGTTGCGGGAAGCCTCTCGGGGGCCTCGTGGGGGCCGTTATGACGCTCCTTGCCGGCCGTTTTGGGGCTTTGGGGCTTCTTGAGGGCCTTTGGGGGCCTCGGGTCGTGTTCCCCTTCTTAGGTCCTTGCGGGGGTCGTCTTGAAGCCTTCTTGAGCAGTCTTGGGCGCCTCTTGGGTCGTCTTGGCGGCCTCTTTGGTTGTTTTTGTAAACTATTGGGGGCCTCTTGGGCCGTCTTGGGGCGGTCCTGGGGGCCTTTTGGGCCGTCTTGGAGCGTCGGGAGCTCGAAAAGTCGTGGAAGCTAAAACCGTTCAAGAACCGAAAGAAAATCAATGAGTTGTGGTTGTTGGGGCCATCTTGGGAAGGGTTTTGGGGGTCACTTCGGGCGTTTGGGGGGCCTCGTGGGCCGTCTTGAAGCCATTTTGCACGGTTGGGATCGATCGTTCGGCGACCCGAAACCCTCGTGGACCATTTTCGGGGGCCTCTTCGGGCCCTCCTGGCACATCTTGGCGCGTTCTTGGTTCAGAAACAGCCACGCCAGAATCCGAAACAACACGCGAAAAGCCCAGCTAAATTTGGCAATTTGGGCTCCGGGCCCCTCGAAGACTCTTCAGGAGTAGGGATTGAGGCTAAGAGAAAGAGGCTTGGGTAAACGACCTGAGGGCACGCCCACTCCGTGCCCAGTTAGATCTGGGAAATACATTCG